ATACAATCTAAGACACCAGTTTTCTTTCAGCAAATGGATTTATTGACATAATTGATTATAACCATGTACAGCATCTATGCATCTCCCATTGGAAGAATATCCAGTGATAGAGCTAACGTTAGTGTGATACACAGCTTTACTCAATAATCCCACTGCATTTCTAACCACAAACAGTTGTGTACTCCACAGTCATAAATGGCTAAAAACACCCAGGTGTACAAAAGAACGGAAATTTAATATTAACAAAAGAAAATGAAACCTGATCCCACATTCCTTTAGTTTTAATTCCATTCAACATGGTGTCTATAGCAGTGATGAATTTTAATCTATACACTGACAACCAAGTTTGGTCCCTGATATTCATGAAAACTACAGCCTGTCAAAATGAAATCCCAAAGGACTTCTTGCTACTGATCGAAGAAACAAGATTTCAAATTTTTTTTCTCCATTTAAAGGACAAAGATTAAGGCAAATGATCTCTACACTCTTTCCCTCAGAACATAAAAGTCTTTTCTCTCCATTCTGTCACTGAACTACAATTGAAGGTACCAGTTACTATGGTATCTTTTGTAAACACTTGTTCAACTGGAAAAAAAAAAAGGGGGGGTTAAAAAAAAGAAAAAACCCCAAATTGCTTACTTGCAATTATGGTAATAAACAACTTGTAGTCACGAACACCTCGGGTCAGCAATGAATGCATTATATTGAGACAAATGTCTCCATAGTACACTAACACTTCCTTCAAGCCATTCAGTGAACAAGAGTTCATCTGAGGTTGCACACTAAATTCAAAGGAGCAGAAGTAGTATCAATGGTCTCAACAATTTACCAAATTCCATCTAAAACATTTGCATTTAAATTGCAACCCTGGTTTGGACCTCTTTAATTAGCTCATTTCTAGACCACACAGAGAGAATTATTAATGTAAACTAACCCACCATATTTCCTAGTAACAGAACCACATTCTGTAAATATTTAGGAAAGTCTGAGAAGTAGAGAGCAACTGACCATAAAATGATTAGCACTGCTCTGAAACCAAAAGCAAAATTCTAATTTAAAAAAAACCACAACAACCAACAAACCAAAACAACTCAAACATAATATTCTACTTAATATATAAGGGTTTAACTTTAGTATTACACACTCAGCTACACAAAACACAGCATCTAGATTAATATACAAAAATGTTTTATTTCACAGTGAGGTACATAAAGCTTCTAACTTTAGTAGGCTAAGGCTAAGAGAGAATTGCCTGTTACGATAAAGATTGTTTCATGTTCCTGAAATATTCTCACTTATTACTGTTTCTGAAGAAAGGCACCAATTATTAGTTATCCATCAACAGTTTGTCTCTGCATCTGCCTATTTAGAAATGAAGATGGATTATGTGAGGGTCAGCACTCTACCGACCATCATGGACCCAGACAACTACAGCACACGTTAATGTGTACAAGTACCAAGCAGTATTTATTCAAAAACAATTTAAAAATAGCTCATTTGTAAACACATTACAAAAATATGTTAGTTTTTCTTAGTGGTGTCACCAATATATTCCTGTAGAACTAACCAGCTGCATTATTGTTTCTCGTTTACAAAAAAATATGAAAACCCACTTGTGCACATTAAATCACCTCACATTCGGTTTGAGTTGAAACGGCACAGCCTTCAAACTGTCCAGTGAAAAAAACTTACATTTCCAGCCCTCCAATGACTCCCTGGTTGCACACAGTTCAATTAAAAGATTACCCTTGGTCCAAATTTTTGTTTAGGAAGAGTCAATGCCGTGGAAAGGAAAGACCTGCTCAAAGCTTCCTTACACAGGGCCAGGCTGCTCACTGTAACTTGTTCCCAACTACAGTTGGAGAAAACCACCTGTAAAATAGCACACAAATTACGGCTCTGAGTTTGCTTAAGGGAGGCACTGGCTGCTGTTGGACAGTAGCTCCTGCCGCTTTGCTCCCTGTGGCAAGGCACAGTTACCGCCTGTCAGGGCTCTTCCTTGGGTTAGCGATGATTCCTGAAAAAACACTGACATTCCAACAGAGGTAACCCCATCTCACAGGCGGCCTCAGCCCCGGCCTGCAGTAAGGGCAGCTGAACACAGACACTGCACTGCAGCTCTGCCCCTCGGAGGCCACGACCCCGGGGCTCCCACCATCCCCTCAGAGACCGACGTTCGCCTTCCCTCGCAGCACCGACCGCAGCTCCCGGCCGGCCTCGGGGCCTCGGCGGGCTCAGTCGGTGAAGCGCTGCAGCAAGTGTTCATCACCGTGCCGGCTGCCCCCGCTGTCCATGAAGCGCTCGCAAGGGAACTCGATGAGGTCGGCCTCGCTGAGGGCACAGGCGGCGGCGCCACGGGGCGGCCGATGGGACTGGAAGCCCGAGAAGTCGGCAGAGACGCCGGTGCCCATGGAGCGGAGCGGGCGGCGTGTGGAGTACAGCTGCCTCACGTGGACAGGGGCTGCCTTCCGACGCCGACGCCCCAGCACCTTCTTGCGCAGCAGGCGGGCGGCCCAGGCGGCCAGAGCCGTCAGCAGCAGCAGCGCATTCACCGCCAGCAGCACCAGCGTGAGCAGCTGCTGGTCAGGGCCGCGGGGCCCACCTGCCGCCGCCGCAGAGCTGCCCTCGGGCAGGGTGACCAGCCCGGTGCAGTGGTCCCGCGGTGCCACCGGGCACACACGGCCGCCCAGGACGCCCTCAACGCAGATAAGGTAGGGTGTGTCCGGGTGGAGCTCCTGCAGTGTGGCCACTGGCTCCCCACGCTCTGGCAGGTACACGAAGCGCTGGAACTTGACAGCGGCGCCGAAGCGGTCGAAGAGGAGGCGGAATCGTGCCGGCCCAAGCAGGCGGGGGCTCCGGTGTGGCCGCACGGCCCAGCGCACCGTCACCCAGCTGGAGCCCACGGCCTCCACCGACAGGTTGTGCAGGAACAGCTTGTTGAAGTCGCACGGGTCGGACACCAGCGGCGGGACCCCAGCGGCACTGGCCCGACGGGGCCACGCTGCGCTGGGCAGTGGTGGCGGTGTGGGGCTGGCAGCAATGGGTGCGCCCATTAGGCGGGCAGTGGAGGCGGATGGCGGCAGCCCCGGGGGCAGTCCCGGGGGCATTCCCACGGCGCTGCTGTTGCTGCCAAGACCCTCAGGAGATGCCAGGGAGGGAGAGTCACCATCGGGGCAGGAGCCACCATCCTGCGGTGGCAGCAGTTGGGCATCCTGCAGGTAGTCGAGGTACTTGCCAGCCAGGGTGGGTGGCAGGCGGCACTGCACGAAGACGGTGAGCAGGCGGCCCTGGGAATGCCAGGCCGCCAGCCAGTGCTTGAGGCCACGAAGGCGGCAGTCACAGCTCCAGGCATTCCCCTCCAGCTCCAGGCGGTAGAGGGACAGGCTGGAGGCAAAGAGCTCGCCAGGGAGTGTCGCCAGCGCATTGTCCCGAAGGCTGAGCTCACGCAAGTGGCCAAGGTGGCTGAAGGCAGCCGGATGCAGGGCGGTCAGTGCATTGCGGCTCAGATCCAGTGCCTCCAGGTTGCCCAGCGGCTCCAGTAGGGTAATGGGCAGGTGGCTCAGTAGGTTCCCCTCCAGGCGCAGCTCCTTCAGTGAGCCCAGCCCTACGAAGGCATCTGGGGCCAGGTGAGACAATCGGTTGCCACTGAGCGAGAGCTTCGCCAAGCCAGGCAGGTGCTGGAAGAGCCCTCCCGTCAGCTGTCGCAGATTGTTGCTGGCCAGCAGCAGGGTGTGGAGGGAGCGCAGCGGTCCAAAGATGTCTGGGTGGCGAAGGGAGCTCTGCTGGTTCCCCGAGAGGTCGAGGAAGCGCAACTTGGCCAGTCCGGTGAAGGCACCACGGCTCAGCCAGCGGATGCGGTTGGACTCCAGGTGCAGGTAGAGTAAGTTTGGCAGCCCTGAGAAAGTGGAGTCGCCTAGAGAGCCCAGCTCATTGCCATCCAGTCGCAGCTTGACAAGACTGCCGAGGCCGGAGAAGGAGGCAGCGCTGAGGCGGCCGATCTCGTTGGCGTTCACGTAGAGGATGCGCAGCTTGGCCAGGGCGCTGAGTGTGCCAGGGGCCAGCGCTGGCAGCAGGTTGTTGCCCAAGTAAAGCTCCTCCAGCCGGTCCAGGCGCTCAAACGCCTTGGGGTGCAGCGAGCGGATCCGGTTGTACTGCAGGTCCAGGCGCTGGAGCCCTGCCAGGCGGTGGAAGTCGAAGGCGGAGATGTTGACGATGAAGTTGCCCCCAAGGCTGTAGGTGAGGATATCCTTCGGCTCGGCAGCCTTGGGCACGGAGCGCAGGCCCCGGTTGGTGCAGAGGAGGTGCTGGTGCTGCTGGCAATCGCATGGCTCGGGACAGATGGGCTCGGCCGCGGGCAGCAGCAGGAGGATGAGGGGGACGGAGCCCCAGAGTACCCGCGGCAGCACCATCAGGCGGACCCGGCGCGGCGCCTCCATCCCGGGACGAGCCGTGGGCTGCTTCCCCCGCCGGCTTTGTGTCTATCCGGCATCCCCTCCGCCTCCTCCGCGGCTGCTAATGGGCCCCTCCTCTGCTCCGCGCCGGGCTGAGCTCCGCGCCGGGCAGGCAGGCGCGGCGGCGGCTGCAGGTCGCGGTGCCCGGCACCATGGGCTCGCCCGCGGCGGCCGGGAGCGCTGCCCCGCCCGGGCTCTGCCGCCCCTGGCGGCCCGCGGGTGCGGGTCGGCGGCGGCAGGGCCGGCGCTGCCGCGGGGGGCGGGCGGGCTGCGGAGTGGAGCGGCTGCTCCGCCGGCACTCCCAGGGTGGAGGGGCGGGCGGGGAGGAGACGGAGGGGGCGGCGGGCGGAGCGGGGAGAGGGAGAAAGACGAGCTCCGAAAGTTGCCGAGAAAACTCAGCGGAAATTCGTACTTCCCACACTGTGCCCTGGGGACCGGAGGATCGGATGGAGCGGCGGAGAGGGAGGACGGCGCGGCGGGGGGGCGGGGAAGGAAGCTCCCGGCCGGTCCTGGCTCGGTTCAGCCCCGGCAGCGAGCAGGGGCGCAAAGTGGGAAAGAAGGAATTGGAACCGGCTGTGGCTGCCTCCCAGCCACATGGGCTGCAGATAGAGCTGCGCATCGGAGAGGGGGAAGGGAACAGAAGTAAACTAATCGTCGTCTGTTCCCCCCTTTGTCGTCCCCACCCCCATTTTTCCCTTCTATTTAGAAACCTGCCAAAAGCAATAGTTACGGTTTACCACGGATTGAGGACTTTCTATTGTGTTGAGCAAACAGCATTCAGAGGACCAAGCCAGTTATAGTACATCAGAATAAATTTTAATTCTTTCTCCTCACCGTCCTGCTCAGTAGGTTCCCTACAAAGCTGCCAATGAGGATGCGGTTGAACATGGCTCCAGCTCCATGAAGGGCTTGTCAGAGTGATCCAGATGCTCTTCAGAAATAATTCCTGTTTTTAAAGATTCTTCTTTCTCAACAGCACAAAAATTCAGAGGGAAAGGAAGGTGTTGGAAGCATATTGAAAATGAAGCAGACTAGGTACCCATCCATTCAATGACTTGCCTTTCCTGTTGGCATTTTTTGTTTTCCTAAGATGTCGCCAATTGGATGTGTCTAAGTGCCTAAGGGCAAGAGAAAATGCCTAGATATATAGATATATAAGACAAGGATATATGTCAAGGACATATATATATGTCAAGGATGACAAGAGAAAGAAGATAATGACCAAAATACCATGTTACAAATTTAATAAATATGTTGGAACTTCTTATCACATGAAGTTGTTATCATGTGAAGTTGTATGCAACCGCATACACTTTGCATACACTTCTGGACTAAAGATGTGTACAAGCCATGCATCTTTCTCTTAACAGAAGTCAGAATTTAGATAGCTTTCGTAGAAATTTTGTTTTAGTGGCGATGCCAACATGAACAGGTAGCATGGTGTGTTAGTTTGTGCTGAGTCCCTGTTGTCTGCTTTCATGATACTTTGATCTAACTGATTTGGTCCTGAAGGAATCTTGAAGAGAAGGGACATGGCTTGGTTTTGTCAACAGAATATCACTATGAGCATCTCAGTTCCTATCTCTTGTAGTTATCTGAGGTTGAGCCTTATGAAGAATAATCTTTTTGTAGTGATAACTGCATTGTGCTGGTGTGGGAAGTAGTGTTTGGGGCAATAGAATGATATTTTAGATAATCTGGATGAAATTCGCAAATATCTTCAAAAATCAAGTGAACAGCTCTGAATTATAACTTGGTCATTGGGAAAACCCAGTGTGAACAATAATGTGCTGGAATATGGTTATGACAAGGAAAGCTAGGAGGGTGTTTGGGTTTGGGTGGGTTTTTGGTTTTGTGACATCTTTTTTGGTGAAAAATGGCTGTTGCATAGGCAGTCATTAAATTAAATTAAAATTCTTGAAGCAAAAATGGTGGAAATTAGGGTTGTTAGATTCCAGAACCTGATGACTTCTGTAGACGTGCACTATCTTGTCATCAAAGAAGAATATGTTTAGATAACCTGCTTTTAAATTTGTGTCCTAAACTGTTGCTGCAATGTTTACTCAGTGTGTACAGAAGCTTGTGTGCTGCTTTAGGAAGTGGAAAGTTTCTGTCTTAATTGTTTGTAACTGCTGTATTTTGAACAGTACGTGCTGGATTAGTAAATTTTTTTTCCCTGAAATAAGTCTGAGTAAGTTTCACAGAAGGAACTTGTTGCTAGTCTTTTTAATTCATTCTCCAAGTTACTGAAAAAACCCATCCAGCATTTGTTCATTATTCAAGTATCCATGGGTTAAGAATCTAGACCTTTTAGCTTAGTCTTTTCCTTATTGACTATTTTTTCACAAGCCAGCTTTCCACTATCTATCACATCATGCCTAATATTCAGGACAAAGTATAGATAATTTTTCCCCTGCAAAGATTGCATGTTTCTTTCCTCATTTTCAAAGCCACTGTGGTTCAAGGAAAGACATCCTGACTGAAAGTTTTATTTAATTCTGAGCAAAGCCTGAGTGACTAGTGACAAATTTGCTTCACCGTGTTGTACTTTAAATAGTGGAATTTTAGAAAGCCATTCTGTATAATGGTATGCTTATTTTCTATTCCTTTGGGTTTTTCTTCGAAACACGGTTAAGCCTATAAGGGCAATTTATGAACTGTCCTTCCTTTAGAAGCACCATAGATCTTTTTCTAACCATATGTCATTGCAAATACTAAAAGTTTAAGTCAAGTTTTGTCTTGTGTATTGCTTTTGATTTATGCTTTCTGAAACTTAGCCAATACGATTATTTTCCCTGGGTTTGGGGAATTTTAAGTGGCAGGAATTTAATAAAAAAATTTAACTAATGATTCTTAAGAAGAGAATTCATCAGACATATGTTCTCACACTGGAAATATTTTATACCAGAAACAAAATAAACAGATACAATGGGGGTTTTGCTGTTTTGTTTTGGTTTTTTTTTCTTTTTTTTTCTTTTTTTTTTTTAATTCAAGTAGGAAGTTATTATTCAAAACAATTAGAAACACAACTGTTAAAATGAAGGGTGCCACATTTGTTTTCCTACTTTGGAAGAAAAACTTTCCCACTGCTGTAGTTCTTGTCTGCTTACCCAAGCACACAATAAAACTTTTAATGCGTGATTGAGAAAAAGTAATCTTTTTTTACCCCAATCTGAAAAAGCATAAATCCACCTATGAAAAACTGATCAGAGGGGGAATTAAAAATAGCCTATTCTTAAAAGCTTTAAAGGTTATCTTAAAACATACCTTTATGGTTAAGATTTAAAGAATGAGGACTTTGAAGGGCCAAGGAAAAAACAAGATCAGAAATACCATCTTTCCACTGATATATATCTATTCCTATGACAATTACAAAGGAACTGACCTTAAATAAGGTATTATTTCATTGCTAAATGGTATCCATATGTTTGTTGTACCTAATATCAAATACCTCTGATTTTCTGGTTTTAGGCATTTTTTTCACGAGATGTTATCTAGGTACTGGTCAGGGGACTGGTGGTTGAAAGTGAACACATATTTGTAGGTAGAATGCAAAATGGAGTGAAAGAAGCAGCATGTTCAATGTAGCCTATCCCAGCATATACTGTGACTGTGACAATGCCCACATGAGAAACTTCCATTAAATAAAATTAATCTTGCTTGATTCCAGATTAAGAGAACTGGAGCTGATCTGGTTAGTTTGAGTGCTGGTATCTCATAGCTTTATGTAGTTGCCAGGAATGATAACTAGTTATGTGGAACTGGAGCTTAATCTCAAAAGAGTAATTTTTGATTGATCTATACCATTTTTCTGCCCACTGCACATCAGAAATGTTTTAATCTGAACTTGTAAAAATGTTTCTAGCAGTGTTAGCTTTGAACTTTCTCACTGAGCCAACTGGCTTCATAGAAACTTTATTCAACCTTAGTGCCAGAATTCCCATTTAAAACAATAAAATCCTTCTGTAAGTTGATATATCACCGTGTTTAGTTGCTTATAATATAAAAACCTAATTTGAAGTTATTTGACGCACAATGTCATAGGAAGTTGTCATATACAACCTTATGAGTCATATAAAGCACAAAAAGAAACAGAAAGATACTGCATAATTCATGTTTTCTACCTGATAAAGTGTCACTGTATTAATTTCTTTTCTTTGAAACTGCACAAACAGTTCACCTGTATTGTGGAATTTATGTTGGTTGCACTTACTGTAGGAATTAAAATTTTAAATAAACTTTTTCCTGATACCATAGTTTGTGCATAATGAAATGTCACTTGCCACATCCAGTTCTTCAGGAATAAAGCATGACTCTCAGGCCAGCAGTTAATATTACATGCCTCTTAGCTTCACGGGACAAAATCTACCAGATGTTTAATAGATATCTCGTCCTATCATCCGTAGAGGTCTGTGGCCTACAACACTGCTGCAAACATCTCTCAATCTTTTCAGAATTAAACATCTGAGTAAAGTATTTGTGGTTTTTTGACATATTATGCTAGTCTAGACATGCTTTTACCATTGTGTGCATGCTTTGTCAGCAATCAAACCCCACTGAACTTCACAGAGTGTACAATATGCCTCTTAGACTTCCTCTGGGCAGGCAGTTCCAGGACTTCATGTTGATTACAGCGATTGTTTCCGTTGTGCATATTAGTTTACCGCCCAAGAAATCTCAGATTTTTGTTTTTTTGGAGTTTCCCTGTCTAGACTGCATGAAACCAATTGTAGCTATATTCGCAGGTAACACTGTATTCACATGTTCTCTCTGCAAGTGAAAATCAGCTAGCTCGCTCTATACAATTAAATGCAAATCACTCAATGGATCTTGTTGCTGTAGTATCAGTGTTTCATAACAATAAATGGAGAGTGAGGTGTCTTCATCCTTCTGTGTAGTGATCTTTGCCAGTATGTATCACTGACAAACTCGTTTTGGTAGGTTAGACTAGCTGAATCATACTTGCAGAAGTATAAATGTTTATTTAGCTGGCATATTTGGCTTTATCCAACATTTATTTCCCGAGGGAGAAACTCATTAATGGAAGTACATACTTTCTGTGTGGTTCAGCATCTGTGACAGTAAAGAAAGGACAGAACCCAACTTGTGTCGTGCTAAGAGTGGTGTAATATATGTAAAACAAATGCATATGTAGCTTATGCAGGGCCAATTAGCTTTTGTAGTGTCTGCAATTCTTTCTCATGGTTATCTGTTTATATACCCAATCTTTGCAGTATCGTTAGACCAGTTTTTCCATAATGGGATAACAAATCAGGCAAGTGTTCTTGCAAACATTTTCTTCTTCTCTTTCTCCATAAAAGGATATGTGTGCTTATGGCAATCTCCTTCATAATGGGTAATACTCTTTTGTCATGTGTTTAGAGTGATAGATGCTCTATTCTGTTCCTATCATCCCATAATTTGGAGAGTCTGTAGCAGAACAAACCTAAACAAAATACCACTTGGACCGGGACTTCTCTTACTAATTAGTAAAACATGTTCTGGTAGATACGCAGAAAAATAGCAAACACTTACTATTTGATGTTATTTTCCCATAACAGGTCAGAAGGGATTGTTCTGTGCCACTTAGTCCATCCTTCCAACTAAATCTGGTTGCTCAGGGTTCTGACAACTCTCCAAGGATGGAAGATCATGGTGTCCCCCATTAGCTAGCTGAAGACAGCAAAGCTCTCTTATGGCTAAACAAATCCTTTTCTTTCGGTCACTCCTCATTCACTGAGGAGTTTCAGTCTCATGATTATCTGTGGCCTCTCCTCTGTAGGTTGATGCTGTTACTCTTGTACTGGGCAGCCAAAAACCCCAGGGCCACTAAGATGACAAAGGGACTGGAGCATCTATTGTATAAGGAAAGGTTGAGAGAGCTGGAACAGTTTAGCCTAGAGAAGAGAAGGTTTCAAGGGGATCTTATCAATGTATAGTAATTCTTGAGGAGAGGGTACAGAGAGAACAGAGCCAGGTACTTTTCAGTGGTGCCTAGTGACAGGACCAGAGGCAGTGGACATAAACTGAAACACAGGAGATTCTGCCTGAACACCCCTTCTCCTCTGTGAGTATGATGGAAACTGGCAAAGGTTGCCCAAGAAGTTGTGGAGTCTCCATCCTTAGAGATATTCAAAAGCCAAATATACTGTCCAGTGTGCAGGACTTTACATTTGTCTTTGTTCAATTTCAAGAGGATTCAATCATCTCTTTTCTCTAGTCAGATGAGGTCCCTCTGAAGATGCCCTGCATGTGTTATCATTCTTGGTGTGCCTCACCACATGTTATCATCCATGGTGCTGCAGAGTGTGCATTCTGTCCCATTGTGTTCCTTGTTAAAGATGTGAAAGAGTATTAAACCATGTTAAAAAGTGGATAAAGAGCCACCTTTAGTACTTGGGGAATGACCATAGTAACTGGCTGCCAGTTGGACTTAGTGTTACTGATCTGAACACAATGTGTCTGAGAATCAAACTGATTTTCCATCCACTTTATCCGTTTATTTACCCTGTGTCCCACCGATGTTGCTATAGTGATATTAGAGGACACTGTTGAAGGCTTTGCTAAAATCAAAATAAACATTGTATTTCTCTCATCCTTTGTCCACTGAGCCAGTCACATTATCACCAAAGGTGTTTTCAGTCCCCTTTTGGTCCTTTATGTGCTCAGAAATTAAATCCCAGAGGACTTACTCCGTAACCCTCCTGGGAACAGAGGCAAGGCTGAGTAGCGTGTGGTGGTCTGGTTCCTCACTGCTCTCATTGCAGATGGCCTTTTTCCAGTCTTTGGGACCTCCCGTAATTCCCATAATATTTTGAGGACAGTAGAGAGCAGCTTGCAATGAAATCAGCCAACCAAGATGCAGCCTGTCTGGGCCCATGAATACACAATCAGTTCCTGATTTGATCATCATTTGTTGGGTGTAATGCTTTACTCCCACAGACTCTGCTACTAAGATGAAGGAACTGAGATGCTTAAGAAAAAAACCTTGCTGATGAAAACAGAGGCACAATGGCATTTAATACCTCAGATTTTTCCATTTCATTTATCGCTAGGTCCACTGCCCTGTTAAGCAATGGTGTCACCTCTTCTTTAGTCTTTTTTTTGCCACTGATACTGAAACCTTCATCATTTTTCCTTTTCATATCTCTAGCTACTTTTGGCTTCCACTGATCTTTGGCTCTCATGTCTGCATCCCTGCCCACTCAGACAACACCTCTCTTTCTCAAGTAGTTTGTTGCATTGTCCATCTTCTGCAGTCCTCTGCCATGCTTGTTTGTTTTCCTGAGGGTCAGGGAGGACCATTCTTGGGCTTTGATAGGTTTGTCTTTGAAAATCAGCCCATGATCTGGGCCTTGTTGTCCTTCACAGCAGTATCCCACAGGTCCTGCCAGGCAGGTCCCTGAACAAGGCAAGATCTGCTTTCTTGATGGCCAGGATTGTAATTTTAAACATTTATCTTGCTCATGCGGCTCAGGATTTTAAACTCCACAATGTTATGGTCATTGCAGCTAAGGTTTCCCTCAGCTTTCACAACCCCAACTGGTTCTTGCTGGTTCATGGAAGAGGTCCAACAGAGCACCTACTTAGCTCATCAGTTGTCTGTATCAAAAAATTGTCATCAACACATTTCGTCAGTATATGCTCCCAACTGAAATGGTTTTAAATAATTGAAAATTGTTTACTAGGCCCTGACATGGAGTGGCTCAGTATACCTTTGACATTAGTAGAGCTATGTGCTTATATGTTTTCACCAAACGATCTGGCCTCAGGTCCTAGATGGTTTTTAAGAAACCATTTAAACACATGATTAAGTTTTGTCAGAAATACTGACTGGATCATCGATTTTAGTCATCTGCTGTCAAAGTGTGTCATATGAGTCCATTCACATCCCTTTGAGAAATTACTTCAGTTTTTTTTGCTCCTTTTGCTACTTCTGGAAGCATCTTTGAGAACATTCTGGTTCTAGTAGGCAACTTTCCAATTTCTGACATAACTTCTTCCTGTTTAGTATTCATTTCTTCTTGGGTGTCTAAATTATCCTTTAATGGAAAAAACTCTACTTTTGGCATCTAGTGTTCTTATATTTATGAAGAGCCCAGTCCTATCTCTTCAGGCTGTTTTGCTGTCATGAACAGTCCAAGCTGGTTTAAACTGTCATAGAGAGATAGACTCTTGTTTCCTCTGTAGATGCCAATCTGTCTCATCTCTACTTTAATTAGTCTTTATTGGATATGAGTGATAGAAATCTACACCCAGCTCCAGATAAAATCTCTTTAGTGCCTGAAGAGAGTTTCATATGCTTAAAATTATTCTTGCTTTGAAATCACTTTAGGCCATTTCATTCAACCCCCTTCACTAACTTGTACGTTTCTGTCATATATCAGCAGTGACACCTCTAGATTTAATTGAAATATCTCTAAGATTTTTTCACTTCTTGTTAATACCACATTTTTGCTATATATGTGGTATGTGATATAAAGAGTCATAGTTTTTAATGAAAATGGACAGTAAAGCAGCACTATGTAATACTTCAGTCTTAAGCACTGAACATTTCTATGTAAATTCTCCTGCAGATATTTGTGTATTTAGTGGGGCAAACATAAACATTCTGTCTTAACACTGCAGACAATGAGCTTTTGAAGCAGAGAAATACATATTTTTGATCTTGTATTGGGAATTGCTCTGTGCAGCCACCTAATTTGTTTAGGAACCTTGATTCAGTGTTTGCAGAGTTTTTCAAAACATTTGGCAATTAAAATGAGAGGTCCTAGAAAAATGAAGCATTGTAACCCTTGCATTCTTTTATTTTTATAAATATTTGTATTTTGATTTCACTAGACTTAATACCACATGACGAAATGTGATATTGGATCAAAGCTGTTGCTCCTGCTGTAGCTGAGACTTGTTTAAAATGGATGATTTTTTTGTAGTATTCCCTTATACTCCATACTGTTGAGTTACAAGTTACTTTAGCTGAATATGTTCCAGTTAGCTCTAAAGAAGAGTGAATTATATTGTCCAGCATTGTGGACAAAAGAAAGGCTTGGTATGACATGTAAATTTATAGAGCTGGTGATGAAAGAGCTATAAGAATATCTAAAATAAATAAGAAGCTACTCTGATATTCTCAGGGTCTGAGAACATGTAGGCTAGATGAAAACAGTCCAAAGTGGAGCTAAAAGGGGCAGGAAAATTTATACCTGATCTGTGTTGGTAATTGCTGTAAAATTTGCCAGGTTTATCAGCTTTAGTTCTGCAAGAATTTATGGTCTGCATAACCTGTCATTAAAAATCTGGATGATGGAATAGAAAATGCTTATTTGATTTACTAGCAATGCTGCACAGAGGAGGAGATGGAGATATTGGAAGGTAGGCTCAGAGTTCATAATTAATTTAATAATTAAATAATCTGAGGGAAAAAACGTAATTATCCCAAAAAGGATATGGTGAAGGGGAGAATGTAAGCAGGGAGGGCAATAAGGATGATGAGTGTTACAGCAGTTTGGGTAGTAGGATAGGATATATAGTCTGGAGTAGTGTGCATGTCTGTAATATTCACCACTGTAAGTAAGGAACCTTATCTTAAAAACACGATGGTGATGCAAGAATTACTTTTATTTTTGGGGTAGTTACCTAAAGAACAGAGCTCAGTAATTTGTAAGTGTCTAAATTCAGAGGCCTCATCACCTATTTTATAGTCACCTTTTATGTGGTATTTAAATATTTAGTACATAACTTCTGCTTACTGAACTTCCACTTTTAATTTAGAGGTCACTTCTTTTTTAAATCAGACTTTCCAGATGTTTCAAATTACACAGCCATGAAATAAATTTGTGGGGGTTGTGGGTTGATCTGTGATAGAGACAAAGATAGAATCCACTACTCTATGGAAGCACTGAAGTATTTGGACTAAAGAAATGCTTTTTCTCCTTAACCCTTCCAGTTCTTGTCTCCTGTACAATTTCACTCATATCCTTATGATAGCGACCTCTTCGAGTCTTTGAATTTCCATGCCACTAAGCCAAGATCCATACTTATTCATAAAGAACTATGCAGTACTTAATATCAGAATGTAGGTTAATATATATGTACATAAATGTTGAAAAGGTTTGACAGCAACCTAAATTCTGAAGTTTCTTAATAGCTAAATGTTTATCTTTCAGATTCATAGTATGTTTAAATGTGATTTTTACGCATTTTTAATTGAAATTTGTAACATTTGAAGTTCTTCATAGTTCCTGTGGTGCTATAATTTTCTTTGCACATCATAAAAGAAAAAAATCTAAATATTAACTATTTTTCTTTTCCATATCAGATTGTGAAGAACAATCCTCTCCCTCCTCCAGGTATCACCATGAGAACCAATGACCAGGTTTGAAAGTTGCAGTCTTCTGAGAAGTCCGAAGTTACTTGGACAGTGCATCCTGAGTTCTATTCTGAACTGTTCTGAACTGTTTTCTTTGATTAAGACCTCATACATATTACTCATGTACCACAGTGGATTTAGAATATTAATTTATACAGTCATATACAATATCATTTTTATTTCTGTAGCCTTCTATAATATGAATAGAATAATATGTCGTAGAGTCTTGAGAGGGCTTATGTCTAGTCTTGTTCAATTTGTCATTGTAAAATTAAGTGTCCAAAAAACCCTATTTCAGATTAATGTTGGATGTTTAGGTATGTACATCAGCATTGTTCTGGCAGTGTTGTTTTAGCTCACATTTTTTTTTCCACCTCCCCGCCTGTTTGTTTTATGTAATGGGTAGTGTTTTTGCACAAAATTAGGAAAATAAGCCTGTACCAAAACTGACATCCTCAAAGTAATAAAACTTAATAGAAGCCACATTTGTGATGAACTTCTTGTTAACAAGAATCTATAGGATCACTGCCAACATATCATGTTACAGATATCTCATTCTTAATCAATGTAAGTTCAGAAACTTGGTTTCAGAGGTAGAGGAAGGGAATAGAGGCAGAAGAGAGAACTACAACTTAAGGGTAGAATCTTGTTGATTTATATTTTTGTGGTATTTTTAGGTTATTTATTGAGGTTTGTTAGCATGAATGGCTTATTTGATTGTCCTTGTTATTTCATAAATAATTTTACATTTCAGTGACTAGTTATAGCTGACCTAGTCTTGATTGTACAGGCCATGTGAGAAAAGAGAGTAAACACTATTGCCACAAGGGAACTTGCTTAACAGAAACCAGTGCTGTCCAGTCTAAAAGTATGGACTGGTCTTTAAAAAAAATCCTCATTTAGCTGGAATCTCAAATAAAAAAATATACTTGTGCCTGTGGTATAATGTATATGTACTTAGAGAAAAGTGCAGCAAACACAGAATATTTGACTTGTAATTATTTCTCTACCTCAGTGACTTCTCTGTTAAGATGAACATACAACTGTATTTTGGGTCAGATCTTCAGCTGGCATTATTTGTTATAGCATTACTGGCTTTTCTTGACACTGGTTAAAGTGATGGTCCTTCAGCAGGCTACATTTTCACTCAATCCCTCCTCTAAACGTTTTTAAATCTTCTATAACCTAGAGAGATTGAGTTATGTATAAGGTCAAATTACCATGAAAATTAAATGTATTGAACAAAATAAGCACTTTTTCCCCAGTGGTAATATCTCCATGTTCAAAGGTTGAAATGCAATAATAAAAGTGCAGAAAGGATAGTTGCAACTTTTCAGTTATAAAATCAATTTTGTTCATGCTGTAGAATAAAAGTGTGTCTGAGGCAAGTCATTCATTAAGAATTACTGGGGACTTCACTCTGTATAATAACCATGATACAAAGGGTTTAACATTCAGCATGAATTATAGTGAAAGCACATATTACATATATATATACACAGTATACCATGATAAAATTGTTTAAGCACATTATTAAAGTTTCTAATAAAATATTTAACCTTTGTGAGGTAAAACTTTTTCTGATTACTCACATAACTTTAAAAACATGAGGAGAGAGTACTTCCTTCTCTCTTCTTCAGTGTTATCTATGTTAAGAACAGCTTTGTGTTTTGGTGTTCTCCTCTCCACCTTTCCTCCTTGAGACAACTTTACTTGAAAAATGTAGGTTTAGATTAGGTATGAGGAAAAAATTCTTTACTGTGAGGATGGTGAGGCACTGGAATAAGTTTTATATTATGTCAGAATCAATTGTGAATGCAATAGGTTTAGAAATTGGAAAGTTAAAATGAACAAACAAATATAATTTCTCAAAAGAATAATTGTATTTATAGCTCAGGAAATAAATATTTGAAGCAGAAGGAACGTTAAGAACTCCCATCATTTGCCACTTGGCCATTAAGGCTGTAACCTTTCATGTTTTATGAGAGAAGCTTTCAAACTTCTCCATCTCAATTAAACATTTCAGAGTTGTGAAGTCCACCAGTAGAATAAACGTGAAGTTTATTTTTATGTACTCCAAGGATGCTTGGAGTACAGCAGTCCTTCAGCTTTAGGCATCTCAAGTAGAAAAAGTCAGTGGCAGTGGGGTCAGTTTGTCTTTTGTGACTTCGCAAAAGTGAGAGTCTCTGGCCTTGTTCCTGTTTTGAAGGTATACTTCTGGCATCAGAAAAATGCCCTTGTAGGCTAGAGAATAAAATACATGTTATCCTACTCCTATGTTTATATTTAAAATACCTGTACTTTAAAAAATGGAATAAAAACATGGAGACTTTTGTCAATTGACAAACATGGCAATGATAACCAGGTTTCTGGGAAAAAAGGCGAGGATTAAGGTTGTAATTGTGTGCAAACAACTCTAGGTCATAAATTTGATTGAAATATGTTATTAAAAAACTTTGCTCAGATGAGGAAATATGGGAAATACGTGACTGAAAACTTCTGCTCTTGGGTAATCTGACTTAAATTGTCCTCACACATGACAGTGATGCCACTATACAGGAAGAGAGCAGTTTCTGAGGCCAATCCAAGGCTAAGTGTATAGTATTGTGAGATAAGGTTGTTGCTCTACTCTCAACTGTCATTTGGAGACAGAATTTATTCTGTCTAAATACTGAGGTAACAATAACAAACTAAAAACATTTGCAGAAGAAAATGTAGAATAGTCTATCCTACTGTATCCATGAAGGTTTCCTTTTGTTCACTAACCTTTATCTTTTAATTTTTTACTTATTTTATTTTTATTTTTCTTATTTTTCTTCTTTTTTTTTTTGCATAACTTTGAGTTATCCATAAAAAGTCACATATTCTTATTTTTGACACTGTTCTTAATTATTTCCTTTAATTTAGATATAAATACATATTTTATGGAAATTAAACTTGCTTCCATGGTGAAGGAAGATTAATAAGCACTTTATGTATCACCACTTACAGTTCACTGTGAAACTGCTCTTGTGCAGCCTGATCAGCTATTTCTGTTGGCACACAACAGAGCTGGAGTTTTGCCTAGAGTAGCACAATCTTTTTATTCGCTGGAGAAACAGCTAGTCACCACCTCAGCTATATGATACTCTGCCTACTGCTATGCAGGGGCATAGCTGCTTACTGTTTGTGCTAGTGCTCACATCTATAAATCTCTGTGATGTCCACACTTCATCATTTTTTTTTCCTAACATTTCTCTGTATTCCTGATTTTTATGTTTCTCTTGGTTTCTTTCAGCTTCTTACTCTCAGTCAGTGCCTGACTTGACTACTTGCTTACAGTTGTCATGCCAACTACCAAGCCTGGAAACTCGAGTAGAGAAAGGATTTATCCTTTTTTCTTCCCCTAGCTTTTTTTTTTTTTTTGTGAGAAGTACTCACTTCACAGTTACCAAGCTGCATGAACTGAATGCGTAAGTATGGCAAACAGCTCTGTGACATTGGGCTGACGCTTAAAATTCTAAATATCTGTTTCTGCTTCATAAAGACTTTGAATATCCCTTCCTTAATCCTTGCTGCTTGTCTGCATGCTGAAAATCAGGAAAATTTAGAAGATCAATGAAGTGGGAAAGGGATTTTATAGACAAGTCATTGCATTTTTCTTACTTGAACTGAACTGCAAACATATTTCAAATACCCTACATAGAAGTAATCTATAAAAAATCCATGAGTCTGTTTAGTCTTTCTGAAAGTTAGATATTACTCAATTTGATTCACTTTTCATGCCAAGTAGTTCAATATTTGTGTGTATCACATTTCCAAATAACTAAGTGAAAAATACAAGAGAGGTACAGGAAATTAAAAATAGTAACTCTTAACTCCTTATACCGAAGTTACATGTAATAGTTCTATGAAAATCTGCTTTCCAAAACAAACAGTAGTTTTAACAGGTTTGCTGTAATTGACAACTACATTCACAGATGAATTGCATTGGAAAACATAAAGTGTTTAAAGGGAATTGCTTTAGAAAGGAAGAAACATGGAAATTTCATTTCAGATAATATTGCTCTGTGGAAATTCCTGTAAGTAAGATTGTTCTAGGTTTCACAGGAACCACCTGTATGAGCTGTGTACTATTGCATCTAACGTGTATCTTGCTCTTGTTAAGTTAAAAAATGTGTGCTTTATAGTTGAAGATCTTTCATGTATAAATACTTGCTGTACTTCATTACAGTTTTTATTTGAAATTGAGCTTTCCAGGCTTCAAACTTTTATTGAGAACACGCATTTATTTTGCATGAAGGACTTAGGAGAATCAAATAAATTGGCTCAGCCTTTTCACACTTGTTTAATAGCAAAGTATGTTTGCTTTAATTGAGCCCATTCTAAAGTTAGGCCATTCAAAGCCTTTTATATCTCATTCAAAAGGCAAGAAACCTCAGATATCTTAAGAAGCTTTAATTTAGTACACAGCTGTTGTGGATCAGAGTTCCAGAGCTATACTAAGCATTATCCTACACTTGGGCAACCTTGTAATAATCTCAGATAATTTAACTTCAAATACTGGAGACTCAGCAGTTTTTCTAAAGCATTGGCTTTTTTCCCAGCTGCAGACCTCTAAAACAGGAGTCTATGACTTGCATTGGCCCTTTATAAGGACAGAGGAGTAGAGATACTTGCATTGGTCAAGAACTTCAGTTCTTAGTGATTGTAGATAACTGCAATAGATGCTAAATCTAAAAGGATGCAAAGACCATTTGTACCTCTACAGAAGCCTGTAAAGATAGGGCAAGAGTTACAAGCTGGCACAGGAAGAAATACGAAGCATTGAAAATTACTGTGGAAACACAATCTTTGATCAATGTTTTCTGCATGTTCTTTAGAAGTGTATATATATTGTATATGTACCTGCTACAGGAAAAAAAAATCCCTGAGAGGACTTATCTTTCTGACCCCAATTGAGATGCCTTGTTTAAGTGGGCATGTGAACAAGGTGAAACAGGCTGTCCTTGAGAGGTTTAAATACTTTGAGGAGCACCAACACAGCCCAGCTTGTTTATTTCTTCTTGAGCTTTCCATCCTAATACTTGCTCTTGATGGGACAGGATATAAACCACATAAAAACAGATGACCAGGCAGAAAAATGACCAAGAAAGATTGTTTATATTCTACATCTGCCAAGAGGAAATAAACTCTTGGTCTTCTATGCTAGGAATGCAGCTTGAAAAGCAATGTTACTTTCACATCATCTCCCTGATATTTCCTTCATACTGAATTTTATGCATCTTTTCCTAACTAAATTTATTGTGAGAAGATCCTGGGATGGGAGGAGGCAGAGCCAATTAGAAGAGCTAATCAGCTGGAATGCTGAGAACCATTGCTTTGGAAGCCTTTCATCCACACAGCACCATCAGATGCACTTTGCTGAGAAAAGGACAACTTGTTTGTTTTGGCCCTGGCTTATGTGAGCAGAGATAGTGAAAACCACAGAATCCAAGTGGATAAAGAACATCTGCAAATGATGTTCTCTTAATGTGTGTTGTATCCAAAGAAGCCTCGATGCCTGGTCCCAACTCTGGTCTTAGCCACACATGCCACTTTGTCAGGTTCATTCAGAATCAGCTTTGGTTTCCTGTAAAGAAAGGGAGTGCAGAGTCTGTTTCATGCTACTCCACAATAACAGTGTAAACTATTTAGAAAAAAAGGAAGAAAAATCCATTATTGAACTATTTGAAAAAACTGCAGATTTAAAAGTTTAGTCAAGTGTTTTGTTGTTTGAATCTTGCCTATATTTCTCTATCTTTCCTTTTACTTTAGTAACTAAAGAAGATGTAGTAATTCGTCAATCTATCAATAGAGCATGAGAAATAAATTGCCTTCTGCTCCATGTGATATAGAGGTTAAAAAATTAAATATAAAATTTTGAAAAATATGCTAGGTGAGTTTGGAGAGGAAAGGGGGTCATACCGCTGCAGGAGGAGCTATTTGCTAGCAGTTCTGTGAACTAAGTTATAGTTCTGGGACAAAGTAATTGGTCTTTCAGTCTGTTAATCTTTTTCTCAAGCAGAAACATCTCTTCAATTATTTACTCTCATGAGTATTAATAGTCATGAGTAATTGGTTATTACAGTTGTACGATTTCTTCATTCAGCATGAGTGTTCATTCTGTTCAGTCTAGTAAGGTAGGATGAGCACAGTCTTGAATTTTTTTCCAAAGAGAAAATATATATTATTTTGAGAACATAGAGTTGGAGAAAATTTGCTTTTGGAACAAATTCACATTTAGTTTAATTGCTTGAAACCACGGGCTGAATTCATGTCCTGCACAGATGCTTTGCATGTACTCGCTGGAGTTGATAGCTGATATCATGTCCCAGGAAATACTGTTGCAACACTTGTCATGAATTTTCTGTCTTAAAGATTCAACCCTTGATGTAGATTATCTTCTCCACAGCCTTTTTTTAGTGAAGAGAAGAAAAGATTCATCATGGAATTATCTATTGCATTTTATAATTACAGTACAGTCTTCAACATGGTAAGCAATAAGTTAATGGCAAGTACTTCACAGTCTAACAACTGCAAACATTTGTATCTA